CCCCCGATAGGAGACACGCGCACACACACACACACCACACACACACACACACACACACACACACACTCTCTCACTCACACACTCTCTCTCACACACACACACACACACACACACACACCACTCACACACACCACACACACACACACACACACACACACACAGTGCGAGGCCCTTTTCGCGCAAATCGTTCCGAAATCAGACAAGCCGGAACACAGAAGGCGGCGGCGGCGCCCTGAAGGCCATGAAGGCCATGAATATGCCGCGAGTCGAATCAAAGACACATTCAGGCGGCGGCTCCGCTTGCCGTGACGGCCGTGCCGGGTGTGGCCGAGGGAGTGCGAGGGAGACGGTGCGCCTGGCGTGGCGGCCGTGCCGGCGGGGCCGCCGAAGGGGTTGTTTGTATCTCTCTCTCGCTCCTCCCCGCGACGCCGCGACGCCGCGACGCCGCGACGCTCGGATGCCCGGATGTCGATGGAGGCGTCCATTTATCATCCAAACCCAGAATGAAGCCAATCTGACCCGCCATTGTGCCTGGGGCGGCGCATTTGCCCGCCAATTTCTTTCTTATTTATTTCGCATTTTTTTCCCCTTCCCTCTCCGAGGCGCCCGCGGGGAGTCAGTGGTCGTCGGACTCCTCGAGGTGTGGGCGTCGGCGTCGACACCGCGGCCACGCTGTTCTTCAGGCGCGGGGCGTTCGTGTCGCCTTCTGTCGAGAGGTTCGTCGCTCTGTCTCTCTCGCACCCGAACGGGCCGCTCCACGAGTGCGAGAGAGACAGAGCGACCAGAAGATCCTTCGGAACCGCTCGGCTGAAGGCGCCGCTCGTCGTCGTCCTCGCCAAGAAGGCCGACGGGGTCCCTTCCGGTGCACGCATTACCCTCGGCCATTACTGTGGGCGAACTCGAATGCGGATACCTGCGGGAGGGGGAGGCGGGCCGGGGGCGGGGCGGGGCGGGGCGGGGCGGGGCGGCCGGCCGCAGAGAGCTTCATCCAACTGACCCCAAAGGAGCCCTTAGCTGCAAAGCGGGCGGTGGCGCGGCGCGGCGGGGCGGCGCGACCACACGGCTCCCACAGACAGTGCAGCTAATATAAAAATATGGCGTGACCGCCGCCGCCTTTCGCCACGCAAAAATTGCATTATGAATTGTGACATCCGCGCCATCCGGGCCAACGAGGCCGAGCCCGGCCCGGGTTTAGAGGTTTAGGGCGGTGGGGCCTCGGGTTCGGGGTTTGGGCGGCGCGCAGCACGCAGCAGCGCGTCCCAGCGGCCGGACTGGCCGGACGCGTTCGGGGCAGTTTGAGGTTTAATGGGTTTAGTTCTTCTTTCGCGGGGCTGCGGTGGCTCCCCTGCGGCGGCCCGCCCTGCATTGCCTTGCAGTGTGCGGCCATGGCTGAGCGGCCAGCGGCTACCGGTCGCGAGTAAAGGCCGGTTTAAAATTTCATTTGCGCGAGGTGGTTTGCCTCGCGCACGCTCCAGCCGCTCCGGCCAGTGCGCCTGTGAACGGAGGGATAGGCAACGCGCAGCGCAGCCGTGTCTCCGTGCGGGCAGCATTGCCTACCTCGCAGGCGGCGTCCCGAAGCGGAGGCGGTCGAAATCTGAGACGCGTTTTGAGCTCCAGAGTCGCTAATCAGGCCTCGAACCGACCGTGTGACTCCACCAACGGATTTCTTGTTCGGAGAGCAATCCATTGGTGGGGTCACACGTTCGGTTCGAGGCCTATTTAGCGACTCTGGAGCTGAAAATGCGTCTCTAGTTTTGGCCGCCTCCACTGGTCTTCTAGCCCTTTGTGTGCCAGCGAGTGCGAGAGAGACGGGAGGCGTTCCGTGGGACGTGCGCGCAGCGTAACCGTGCCTTCGCGTGCGGCCGCGCCGTCTATTTGCGCGACTAATTGCGCAGTGAATGCCACTCGAGTGATTAGTCAAACGAGGCGGACGAAAAATAAGCGGCGCTGCTGAAAACCGGTGTCGCCCGCATACTGGTCCAAATCGTGTCAGGGGCGGATCCAGCGCCGGTCTGAGGGACGGGCGAAGTAGCACTTTCCGACTGCCTAGTAGGGCAACTGGTGGCTTTTAGCCTACCTTTCGGGCGGGCATCTAGAGGGCGGAGGCGGGGGATGTCAAAGCAGGCCTTCCCCCCTCCCCCCCCTCCCAACTGGATCCGCTCCGGGTCCGAGTCGATTCCCATGAACTGAGAGTCGCACTGCGCGCGACCACTCCATTGCAGTCAGGGATCCTTAACTTTCCTCATAAGGGCATCAACGTTATCGTAAGAGTTAAAGTTATTAACCTTAACTTCTGACATCTTTTCAAAAAGGGTAAGTTATTTTTTTGTGTTCTGAATTTGTGTAGAAATACTTTTGGAAGTACTTCCAAAAGTTCGTACCCTTAACCTTTAACGAACATTGTCTTATGTTACGTTATGAAAACAGTGTTAGTTAAATGTTAAGTTAAGTTAAGGATCTCTGATCGCAGTTCGAACCCATCCAGACTGTCCCGGTTCTGCCACACTGCCAACGCGAAAACGAAAACGCGAAAACGAAAACGCGAAAACGAAAACGAAAACGAAAACGCGAAAACGAAAACGCGAAAACGAAAACGCGAAAACGAAAACGCGAAAACGAAAACGAAAACGGAAACGGAAACGGAAACGAAAACGAATACTACAACAAACCAACACCGCGCCATGAAAAAATTCTAAGCTTGAGAATGTTTGTAATCCTTGTGGTTTTGAAACCAGGTTGCAGTTTTTAAACCTACCAAACTTCCACGACACCGAAAGAAAACTATGAGACGACGGGTAACGTAGGTGATTATTGTAAATCGTTGTTTACGAGATAAGAATTCAGTTAACCAGAGTGACCTCTGCGAGCCCGAACCCTGTTATCAGAAAACTCGCTGCCCTGAAGGTTGAGGGGGGAAAAAAGACAGAGACTAGTGCAGCCTTGCTACCCACAAAACACACACACACACACACACACGAGTGAAAAATGCAGCCCGCTAGAATGATAACGGAGAAATATTCGGTGCGCCGCCTCGGCGGTCAGGTGACACCGCCAAGGGACACGGCCTCTCTGCCTCGCCGTGCCTTGCCGTGCCTTGCGGTGTGGTGGCCAGGCAGCGCTAGCAATCCTTGCCTTACAACGTGGTGGAGCAACACCGGTATCGCTCGACACGATTAACGCCGCCTCGGAAGCAGAGAGAGGGAGAGAGAGAGAGAGAGAGAGAGAGAGAGAGAGAGAGAGAGAGAGAGAGAGAGAGAGAGAGAGAGAGAGAGAGGTAAAGAGAGCGAGCAGGATGACGTGTATCTATTCACAATGAACGAACGAACGAGCCCCGCCCGCCTTTGCCCATTGGGTATATATAATGGGAAAGTGGACGGGGCCCTTTTGCATTAAGGATACCCTCAACCCTTTCTCGCTCCCTATCGTACGACGCGCGCGCGCGCACACACACACACACACACACACTGGCGCTCACGCACACGGACGCGCGGACGCCCCGTGCAAAAAGGAGGCCGGAGAGTGTTTTTGATCAAAAAAAGGGTGGATGGAGTCGACGAAATCCCGGAGCGCCCCGCGCAAAGATGGCCGGAGATCAACATAGCTAAACATCCCCACATTACATATCCCTGGCCCGGGCCGTGGCGCCGTCACAGACCGACGGACAACACACACACACACACCACGCTCTCTCTCTCTTACACACACACACACACACACACTCGCAGCGCAGAGGGATGGGCCAGCGGAGATTAGGCGAGAGGGACGGAGCGATGCCGGCCGCACTGAGGCAGAGTGAGACAGCGAGAGAGGGACGGTCTGAATATTTAATCTTTCATTAGCGACTCTTTGAGAACAGAGGCCGGGCCGAGGGGCCGGGCGAGGGTGGGCATGCGGGCTCAAAGGAAGAAATCACCTGTCCGCCCCGCCACGCCCCACCACGCCCCGCCCCGCCAGCACCCCTCGCCATTAAGACCCTGTCAATACCGGTCAGGCGTCAGGCCTAGCCGGAGGCGATACAGCGCGGGAAGATAGCGAAGGTCCTTAAAGATCCTTTCCTTGAGACAGGTCCGAATAATGATTGACTTTTGGGGCACCCCGGGGGGTTCCTTTTCGTTGAGTCCTCTTCCCCAGCACCAAATACCCTGAGCCCAAATAATTGCGGAAGAAAACGAAGAAGACACTTCGGAATCGGTCTGCAGTTACGGGTTGTCCCCCCTCTGTCCGCCCTCAGCAAAAACGCTTCGGCCTGGCTCCCCACCCAGCAGGGTGGGACCCCCATGACCCCGAGAGTCGCTCTGTCTCCCTCGCACTCATGGGGCGTCCCGTAGGTGCGAGAGAGACAGAGCGACGGAAACGACTCTCAGTCTGCAGCCCGGAAGGCCCCGAAGGCCTCGAAGATCGCGGGCACTTCCGTCACCGCGGCACGCCGCGGCACGGGGGTGAAAAATAGGGTGCATCAGCCGCTCCGTCTCTCTCGCACTCCAACGGGCCGCGCCGCGAGTGCGAGAGAGACGGAGCGATCGCATCCCCTTAACTAATGCGGTCCCTGATTATACGCATCGAAAACAAAGGGAGACCTCGGCCGCCCTCCGCCTTACAAGGAAACAAAATTTAATCCGGCGTCAAAAAATCACCATTAGGCGGGCGAGGGGCGTGAAAAATCAATGACAGGTTCCGACGCGATAGAAGGCGCCGCTTTTTTAAGCCTCCGCTTGCTTTTCACTGAACGGGGATGGGGGCGGCTGAGGAGGTCAGACCAGCACTTCAGAAAGTAAGTACACCCTCCAAATTATTTTTTTTTCCGATTTTTTTTCCTTGGCACGGTTGGCGCTATTTTTTATTTATGTGGCGTTGTAGCATTGCATAAATTCACAGCCTTAGGCTGGACGTTCATTTATGTTTTTACGAGCGCGGGGCCCAAATGTATTCATTGTCTTATCGGGGATGCATCCGCGGAACCTCTGCAACGACGCGTCGGGGCGGAGGTCCTGGTGGAGGCCATGGAGGTGGCCGTGGTGGCCGCAGTGAAGGTCGTGAAGGTGGTCATAGTGGTCGTGGTGTCATGGAGGTGGTCGTGTTGGTCCTGGTGGAGGTCATGGAGGTGGTCTTGGTGGTCCTGGTGGAGGTCATGGAGGTGGTCTTAGTGGTCCAGTGGAGGTCATGGAGGTGGTCTTGGTGGTCCTAGTGGAGGTCATGGAGGTGGTCTTGGTGGTCCTGGTGGAGGTCATGGAGGTGGTCTTGGTGGTCCTGGTGGAGGTCATGGAGGTGGTCTTGTTGGTCCTGGTGGAGGTCATGGAGGTGGTCTTGGTGGTCATGGTGGAGGTCATGGAGGTGATCTTGGTGGTCCTGTAGGTGGAAATCAAAGTGGTGGTCGTGGTTAGGCGGCGGCAGTGTTGGCGGGCGGGCGGTGTTGGTGGCATTGGCGGTCGAGAGGCGGTGGTTGTGGTTTTCCGGAACGCAGCCTCTTTCCCGCGCGCTGCCCTCCGGAGCGCGAAAGTTGGGACGCGATTCCCGAAACGGGGAGATTTTTAGTCCGGACTCGCCCGCCGGCTTCGGTAATCACGTGGGCTGAGCCGCACCAGGGCATTAAGGATTATCAAGAGCCTTCCATGGGGCTCCCGAGGGAGTCCATCACGTGTGTGTTGTGTGTGTGGTGTGTGTGTGTGTGTGTGTGTGTGTTGTGTGTGTGTGTGTGTGTGTGTGGTATTACGGGCAGGGTTTTGCCGACGCGTCCCCACGACTTCTGATCTGACCCAAGCCAGGGCCCGTCCCTCAGGTGGCACCGCTGGGCCGGATATAGCCTTCTCGGGCAAATCAAAACAGGCAAAGACTCGTGGGAGCCACCAGGGGCGGCCCCCACCCTCGCCCCCACCCTTGCCCCCACCCAGCCCCCGCCCCTCATCTCGGCACCTCTCACTCAACACCAACAGCAAGACAGCAAGTTCTTCGGCGAGGTCAGTCTTTGGAGGTCCGCGTTGAATTCACGTCATGCCAGTAAGTCCAGCCAGAGAGTCGAAAAAGTGGTTCTTCAAGGCAGGAGGCAAAGGTATGATGACTGTTCGGCAGCCTCCTTGAGGCCATGGACGCCACGCTGAGCTCAGGGGGCCGAAAGACCGCATCTTGAGCACCGCACTTGCGCACATGAGCATACATTATGATGTGCCACGCACGGCCCACTCGGGTTCAAGTACCGACAGCGCGGTTCCCATATTTTCTTCATCATCCCATCAGGCGCGCACACTGAAATAACGTATTAATATCTACAGGCATGTTTTTATCGCAGTGTCGTGGAGGCCCTCTCGCTGCCTATAATGTATCCCCTCGTGCGCCGTCGGCCACTGTGTTGTGTTTCCCGTGTCCTTTGCTGTGGAAAGAGCTCCCGACCGGACACACACGCACACACTCGCACTCTCTCACACGCACACACACACACGCACACGCACACACACACACACGCACACACACACGCGCGCGCGCGCAAGAGTCGGGCCGGCTTCCATTAGCCCCACATAAGAAATCATATCACCATAACGTCATCAATAAGACTTGCCGAGCGACACCCCTCCACGCCTCCGCCCCGCTCCGCCCTCCGGCCGGACGTATAACACGTAACTACACTGTGAAAACAAGGCGGACCGGCCAAAATACGTTGACGACCGCGTAGAGATGGTGTACCTGAAGAGAAATGGACTAATGATAAGAGTTTGCACGCGTGGAGGGGTTCTACGACGGTTCACATATTTTTTTTTCACATACTGAAGTTCTGCCCAAAGTCATTTTGCCTTAACAGTTTCGCACAAATATTTTCACACAAAACACACATTGTGTGAACCGTCGTGTTACCAGTGGAGGCCGAACCTCAGGTAGTCTGGAATTCAATTTCACGACAACCGTCTTTATTTTGAGCAACTCCGCTGCAACACTGCTCCCACATGCTTCCTGCCAGAGCCGCAGACCGGACAGAGCATTAAAGAGGATGATCTTAGAACCACACACTTAAAGCGCTACGAAGTATTTAAGCACGATAGGTACAAACTATTCAGTTTCATACGAAGAAATACTAGTTCGTAAATTTCGAAGTATTTTGTTTGTTAGCTTATTATGCTCAAAATACTTTGGTTGTTAGCTACCGTAAGGACTTAAATAGTTTGTGAGGTTTTCGGAGTGCACCAGCGCAGGCTCAGAGAGCACGGCAAATGTTCTTGCAAAGAGGCCGCCCGAAATCAGCCATAACACAAATTTGAGTCACTCGTCCTAGAGCGAATCGTTCGCCGTGTATGATTAGTTGCAAGTCGAAATGAAGGGGTGGCAGGCGGAGGAGCGGTAAAGTGAGGCAACCTGCTCGTCTTATAAACTCCTTTCCAAGGCCCCTCCCCCTTCCCCTCCCCCTCCCCCTCCCCCGACTGATCCGCACCTGAAAGGCGCCGTGCCTCGCCGCCCCGGATCCCCTATACCTCAAGCAGCGAGTGAATGGCATAGAGACGCGCCGGCACGCACACCCACGCAGACCCACTCACACACACGCGCATAACGCACACTCACACACACACGCACAAGGACGCCGCCATTTCAAATGATTAGGTCGCTGAACAAAAGAGCCGAGCAAAACACGGCGCCGCAAGACGCGCGCTGTGCGAAAGCTCTGATTCCCTCCCAGCGAAGTCCTCGCTTCCAGTGGTGTGCCGGAGCGTGCCCTGCCACTCCGCCTTCCAGACTTCAAGACGGTGGTTCGGATTAGGCCCCCCGACCAATGGGGTCACACATCAGAGCCCCCCCCCCTCTTTTTGGCCGTAGCGGCTTGACAATTTAATTGGGGCTCTATTTGCTATTCCGATCAGGGCTGGCCTCGCCGCGCCTTACGGCCCACCCCGCACCCTGCTCTGCCCCGCCCCGCCCCGCCCCGCCCCGCCAGTCGTTCCTATCACATGCCCTCTGCTGGCCCGCGTCCCGTCGGGCCCTTCGGGGACCGACCCGGCCCGAGGAACTGCGACCCCCAACTACTTGTTCCCCGGATAGTGCTTCGTAAGTGTCGCCATTTTTATTTTCCGTCTCTGTCCGCTCAGTCGGCATCCACGACGATAGGCCCCGCAGAGAGAGAGAGAGAGAGAGAGAGAGAGAGAGAGAGAGAGAGAGAGAGAGAGAGAGAGAGAGAGAGAGAGAGAGAGAGGCGTGCTCGGCGGTGTTTCGCGGACTGACGCGACGCCAGGGAATTCTCGCCTCTTGCTGCCCCATCTGATAACCTGCTCCAATCCCAGGATTGATGGTTCGTTTTTTTTCCGCCCCGCCTCTCGTTGTCGTTGTTGTTGTTATTGTTGTTGTCTCGTTTTGTCTTTGTTTTGTTTGGTGGATCGGCCCCTCCTGAGCCCTCATCGCGCCGTCAACGGTGACGCGCCCCCCTCGGCAGGCTGAGAAGCAGGACAGGTGGCGGACGGCGGCGGGGGCGGAGTAGCTCCAAGGTGGTCGCCTCACCTCCATCATTGATAAAACCAATAAAACCGATTTATTTCTTGTTGAAAAAAATGTAAATAGATGCTGCCAGCGGCGGTCGGTACGGCGGCCAGTGACCAAGTTCCACGCAAGTCACCGTGATTTAAATGACAGTCATGGGCCCGGCCGAGGCATGGCCGAGACACGGCACGGCTGCGGGGGGTCGCGGTGTAGGCCGCCACCCTTGTTCGCAGTGCAGCGGACCGACCGATTAAAATCAATCATAGCTTTTCCACACGCCGACCCGGCCTGGCGCGGCCTGGCGTGCCGACCGGCGGGAACAGTGTATGTATGTGTGTGTGTGTGTGTGTGTGTGTGTGTGTGTGTGTGTGTGTGTGTGTGTGTGTGTGTGTGTGTGTGTGTGTGTGTGTGTGTGTGTGTGTGTGTGTGTGTGTGTGTGTGTTGGTGTGTGAGTGCGTAGTCCACGTGGTAACGCCACGGAAAGCACCCGTCAAGCTTCCTGCTGCGGCCGCCAAACAGGTCACTATTACGGCCCTTTGCTCTTGTGACGTGACAGGCGTTAAATATTGGTCGGTGAAAAAAGAAGGGAAAGAAAGAGTAATTTGACAAGTGATATTTTTGAGTGTGCTGAGGTGCAGCGGCCGCTGCCCGCCCCGCACGCGCCCTCGGCGGGCTGCCTACCCTTCGCTCCGCAGGCGGCGTCCCCTCAGGCTCCCAAAACGGAAACTGAAACGCACCGACTGACCCAGTCCGAACCAGTTCACTCTCAAAAGGAATAAAGAAAAAAAAATCCGAAACGAAGAAACGGCTGTGGAAATCAAGATGAGGCAGAGCGCGTCACGGAACAACGATACGAGAAGCGCCGAAAAACTCTTCTATAATCGCTTCGTCCTAATTTTTTCCCCGCTGTTGCCCTGTCTATCAAACGCCATAAACTTGATGATTCATTATATTACTCCCCACCTTTATCTTAGTGCCTTCTCGGACGCGAGGCCCGAGGGGTGAAAAAAAAATCCCTGGGAAAGCTACGGTATTTTCGCCGAGATACGATACTCTGCTACCGGTGAAAAAAAAAGCAGATGATCCGTGGTGCACGACGCGCAGGGAAGACCTCATTCTGCTTGATTTTGTAATCAGCAATCCTGCAAAAAAAAAAAGCAAGAAACCCGACAAAAACAGAAGCCTGTCAGTACGACGAGGGACAAAAAATGGCAGACAAGGGGTGGTGGAACCCGGGTCAGGCGACCTGGCAGGCAGACACATTGACCCTGGCGAAACCGATCTATGACTAAACTCTGAGAGTTGCAAGTTAAAAAGAGACTTTCTTGAAATCTCCCGCCGTCGCTGCGGGGTGTCTCGCTCGTGTTCGAACGCCGAGGACAACAACAACATCAACAACAAGCACTGGTCGGGGTTCCCGCCACAGCATAGCGGGGCGCCGCGGCCGACTGTCACATCAGTTTGCCGCCTTCCACTAACAACTGCATCGCGGCGGCACGGCGGCGAGATCTCGAACGACAACGCGTGTTTACAGGTCGGGCTGGCAGGCAGGCAGGCGGGCAGGCAGTCGGCCCGGCAGCCAGCCAGGCAGGCAGGCAGCCAGGCAGGCAGCCAGGCAGGCAGGCAGGCAGGCAGCCAGGCAGGCAGGCAGGCAGGCAGGCAGGCAGGCAGCCAGGCAGGCAGGCAGGCAGCCAGGCAGGCAGGCAGGCAGCCAGGCAGGCAGCCAGGTAGACAGCCAGGCAGACAGCCAGCCAGCCCTGTCGTCGGCGGCGACGGTGACGTGGGGACGGGGATTCGAGTCTCATACAAATTCATTAACGGGACGCGCTATACATCAGGGACTATCGGGGCGTATCGCTCGGCCGTCAAAGCCGCCGAGTTCATGTTAACACACTATACCCCGCGGCGACCGTGCCTGCCTGCCCGGCACTGC